GACCTGGGAGAAAACCCAGGCATCCTGCTCCCTCCCCAGCTGGGAGAGAACCCAGGCATCCTGCCCCCCGCCCCCAGCCGGGAGAGAACCCAGGCGTCCTGCCCTCCCCCCAGCCGGGAGAGAACCCAGGCGTCCTGCCCCCCCTCCCCATCCGGGAGAGAACCCAGGCGTCCGGGCGGGCCGTACCTGGTGGTCCCGCCGGCTGCCGTACAACCCGTTGAGGTTGGCGTAGTGGCAGTTGTGGTACCACCAGGCCCCGCGGTAGGACACCGCGCAAGGGATCAGCAACCGGTTCGGGTCCCGGTCCCTCGTCGAGAAGACGCTGCCCGAGTGGTAGCTCAGCGCGTCGCCTGGGGGGAACTGGGGGTTAGGGGGGCATGGGGGGGGACAGCACCCCTCCCCCATCCCCCCCAGGACACAGACACCCCATCCACTGAACCCCCCAAACATAGCAACTCCCCACTGTGCCCCCAGACCCCACCCATCCCCCGGGACATGAACCCCCTGACATAGCAGCCCCCCGCTGTCCCCCATCCATCCCCCTGTGGCCCCCACAGCCCCTCGTCCTCTGCCCCCCAGCCAGCACCCTCATCTCCACCCCCACCTCCCTTTCGCTCTCCGTCTGCCCCCAGTGGCTCTCTCCCTGCCCCCCCCCCCGGCCGCCCTGCGCCCCTCACCGGCCGTGCCGCGGTAGCTGCCGAGATGCAGGCGGTAATACTCGCTGGGGGGGTCCACCCGGAACCGCTGGTACTGGGCGAACACGGCCTCCGCGCCGGCCCGGAGATCCACCCGCAGCTCCTGCTCCCCCGCCGCCGTCAGCTGGTGCAGGGCGTCGTTACCTGGGGGCAGGACGCCTGGGTTCTCTCCACGCTCTGCCAGGGGGCAGCCCGGACTCCTGGGTTCTTCCCCAGCTCTGCGGGGGAGCGGGGGCTGGGGGATCGCAGGGCAGCCCGGGACGCCTGGGTTCTCTCCCTGCTCCGCCAGGGGAGGGGGTGGGGGGACAGCCCGGACTCTTGGGTTCTTTCCCAGCTCGGGGAGGGGAGTGGGGGTTGGTGGGTTAGAGCAGGGGGAACTGGGAGCCAGGACTCCTGGGTTCTCTCCCGGCTCTGGAGGGAGTGGGGGCGT